GAGAAAAGCCTTAAAAAGAAGCTTTGCAGTAAAGGCTGCAGACAGAGGTGATCACAGCAGGAGAAGGAAGTGGCTTCAAGGAAGGTTTCTTTTTAAAGATAGAAAAGACATTAAGGGCCTCCCTGGTGGTGCAGCGGCTGGGGGCTAGGCTGCGGAGCTGCCCGCCTCCTCTGCAGCGCCGGTTCAATCCCCGGCCACCAGGTGAGGGTCCCACATGGCACGCAGACCTCTCCTGCTGCCCACTGCTCCCCTCTGCAGTGTACTTCCTCACTCTGCCTGTTCTGCGCCCCGCTCTGGCTCTGGTGAATTCTCTCACCCTCCTGCGATTCTGACTGTACCCGGTGCTTGTGTAAATAAATAAATAAATATTTAAAAAAAAAAAAAGAAAAGAAAAGACATTAAGATAGAAAGTTTTATGATGTAATGGAAAAAAAAAAAAGATAAACATGTGACTCCCCATAAAACCCTGCAAGCTGGCTCTTAGCTATTTATTTAAGTAGCTTGAAAACTCAGGTTCACACAGAAATGTGTACAAGGATTTGTTTGTATGGCTTCATTCATCATCCCCAAAACCAAAATATAGCTCAAAGGTACTTCTGACAGTGAGTGCAGAAACGAACGGACAATTATCTGTGCCGTGGAACACTGTTAAGGAGGAACAAAATAGAGGAAAGCAGTACAGAAATCCCTCAGAAAATTAAAAACAGAAGTTTCATTTGCTCCAGTAATATCCCACTTCTGGGTATATATCCCCAAAATATCAAAGCGTTAATTAAGAGAGACCTAGGCACCCTCATGTTTATTGAAGCATTGTTCATAGTGATAGCTTCAATAGCCAAGAACTGGAAATTACAGAGTGCCCATCCACAGATGATTGGATATAGGTGGTGTGTTCTATCCTCGTGATGGAATACTACTCAGCTATAAAAATGACAAGATGCTGCCATCTGCAACAATATGGTTGTTTCTAGAGGAATGAAGCTCAGTGAAATAAGTCAAACATCATGAGATTTCATGCCTACATGGCTTATAGAGAATCCAAACAAATAAGTGAAGAAATAAAACAAAAATAAACTTTTAGACCAGAAAGGAAGGGCAATGAGGGAATTTGTGGGGGAGTGACGGAACCCCTCTAGTTTGATTGAAGCAGCAATTACATGACTGTATACTTTTGCCAAAGACAAATTTTATTATATGTAAAGTAAACCTCAATACATTTGACCAAACATAAAAGATGGCTCCCCCAAATATTCACTCATGATAAAGGGGGAAATTAATACTTTGCATTAAGAGAAACCCAGCAATACCACCCTAACCTGGGGGGGGTCAAAGTTAAAATGATTTGGGATATGACATTTTGTCATCTTGTTCCCCTAATGGGATGTGTTCAGAAGGGAATTTTGCATCCATTGCCTGGGGTACAGGGGGGTCCTAAATCCAATCCCCCAAGGATACCAAAAGACAACTGTAGTTTGGTTTTGGGGGAGTCAATAGTTGTATGTGGATATTCAACTGCTGGGAGTCAGCATCCCTAGTCCCCTCTTCCAGATGACTCTGTTTCAAAGTTTCCAGGGATTAGGATGAGTCCATTTGGGGAGGGGGCATTGTTCTGCAACTGACATGGCTAATAAAGGAGAATTAGGAGTGATAACAGAGTCTGGGGGGGACCGGGAAGACACATCATGGACACAAGACAAGAGGTGGGTCTTGGTGGGGGGTGGCAAGGACAGATGAAAAGCAAACATCTGGGCTACTCCAGGAGATGAAATGAGATGCAACATTTCTGTCCAGCCTCTCTCTACATCCCTGAGGGCAGGCACAGGGTAAGTGTTTTGTTTTTTAACCAGAGTTAGGGTTTAGCCTAAACCTTGGAGGAGATGGGGAGGAGTTAAAATACCCAACAGGGAGTGATTCTGTGGGGACCTTCAGAATAACTGGAGCAGGGGAGAGGGCAGCGAAGAACAGTGGGGGAGTCGAGACAGGGAAAGGCAACAGCGCTAATGCATTGACATGGAGGTGAGTTTGAAAGTTTTGAGATGTGGCTGATGGGGAAAAAAAGATCATGGGCAGAGAATGGGATGATAAAGAATTTGGAATTGCAAGGACAGCGTGAAAATGGGTGGTGTGATTAGGACATGACATGACAGACGAGGGGAGAGGGTTGCTTTGGGGGGTAACAAAATGTGCCAAGGCTGGCATGCTGACAGGTGCCAGGGCTGGTACTGGTACTTCCTCCGGCTACTGGAAGGCCATGTTCTGGTACTCTGTTGCAACGGGGCTGACGGGTGTTTGTAACAAACCACCCAAAGACAGTGGTGACTGAGACAACAAAGATCATTCATTTTGCTCACAAGTCTGGTCAGAATTGAGGTCTGGGGAGCTTATCTCTGCTCCTGGAGCATGGGGGGAAGCCTGGCTGGGCAGGAGGACTGGCTCACACACAGGGGAGGGCTGGTGCTAGGTGGCTGTTTAGCCAGGACCCAGAGCCCATAGGTCCTCTCCGCATGGCCATCTGGCCTGTAAGAGCATCCCAAGGAAAAGAGTGAGTGGAAAGTTTGCTTTTAGCACCCAGTCTTGGGAGCCACATGGCATTCCTTCCCTGGGGGTCGTTAGTTGCTGGCTTCACTGAAAGTCCAGGACAGGGACTCTGTGGGACAAGGCATGGCAAGTCTTGGGACTACACTTGCTTGTAGGACAAGCAATATGGTCCTTATTGGAAAAAAAAAATCCAGTACAGGGGCCTCCCTGGTGGCGCAAGGGGTTAAGCACCGCACTATGAAACAATTCGCAGCCTCTGCAGCAGGAGTTTGATCCCCGGCCCACCAGGCAGCAACCCACTTGGTGCAGCAGACCTCTCCTGTCTTGCTCCCTGCTCCCCTCAGCAATGCATTTCAGTCAGCCTGCCTGTTCTGTTCCCCACTCTGTCTTTGGTGAATCCTCTCACCCTCCGTATCTCTGACCTATACCTCAGCTCTTGTATGCATAAATAAATAAATTTTAAAAAATATATTCTACAGGACAGTTTTCACAGGATCCGCTACGGGAGTGTGAAATAAGTAGGACAGAACAGTCACGAGAGGCCCGGTGACTGCCGGGACACAGTCTGAAAAGTGGGTTGCGGGCTACTCCATGGTGAGAAAGTCCTACCTTAGGTGGTCCAGCCTCCTACGCCCTCGACGTGATGGTACTGTCTGTGTCTATGCGGTGTCACTGATCAGTTCACGCAGAGTCTAAGACTCCCCCAAAGAGGGTCCCTGCAGTCTCCAAGAAGGAAAGAAAAGAGGAGATGGAGAAGAAAGAGACAGAGAGACGGAGGGACAGAGACAGGAGTCAAAGAGCATGCAATGTAACAGGGTGGTCCCCAGGAAAGGGGGAGGTTCCAGGTTCCCTGCCCCACCCAAGGGAGGGTGGACCTGAGCAGGGAGGAGGAGAAGCTGGAGAGGAGACTGAGGAAGGAAGCAGGATGGAGCCAGAAGGAGACCTGGAGGAGGCGCATGGAGCCTAGAGACACGTGAAGAAACTGCGCTTGTCTTTTGGTCGTGGACGGGGTGACACAGATGTGGGTGAGACCCGTGGGGAGGTGACCATGGCAGCTTTTATCTTGATGTTGATTTTGCTCTTTTCCTTCCGGGCTTGTCTGGTTGTTTCTGACCCTTTTCTGTGGGTCCCCACTGGAAGATGCTTTAGACTTGGGGCAGGCTTTGGGGCCTTGCTCTGGGCCGATCCCATATGGATGGACTTTTACCCACGAGGGGACGGGTCACTTTGGGGCTTGATTTAGAAACTAGATTCTTTGCCTTTCCTGTATTGTTTCCTAATTGTATTAAAGTTCCTTCCCACTAAAGTCTCATGTTTTGTGTTGATGCGGCGGATGGCAGAACCCTATATAGAACAGTCAGGTTTGTGGGGTTTGGGCTGCCCCTCTCCCTGCCCTGTAGCAGAAAGAGAGGGACACAGACGCAGAGAAGGGGACCCAGAAGTGCCGGGCGACGGTGACACCGCCTCCCAGAAACTATGCAGAAAGCGCCAGACGTTGCAGGGTTTAACCTTTCGTGTCTTTCCACTCCCCCAGCAGAGGGCGCCCGGCACCCCCGTCTCTGACATCCGGGGTGACCAATCCCCACCACTTCCCGCAAGTCCTTTCGAAGGGGCTATTTTTACGCGGTGTCATCGGACACCGGTGGCTGGAAGGCCACCGTCTGTCCTTCGGTCCCGGCGAGTGACCCCGCGGCATCCCTCGCCGCCCCCAGCCCCCACCCGCCGTCCCTGGCAGGCCGGGTCTTTTGCGCAACTTAGGGCGGCAGCTCGGGTCTCCCTGGGTCTCCAAAAGCGGGGCAGAGATTCCGATGGAGACCCGGGGGCGAGACCCTGGCGTGGGGCTCACGGGTCCGTGTTTCGCAGCGGCTGGCGCGTGCCCAGGGCGGGGGGACCAGGGTTGGCGCTGACCTCCGGTCAGCGAGTCAGAGGTGAGCCCCGAGACCGAGCCACCCCGAGACCCCGACGGAGAGCCGCGGCAATGCAGTGACCCTAAAGACACAGACCCAAGGGACGCGCACACAGAATCGCTGGGTCAGAGACACGGGGGGCTAAGAGCCCAGCAGAGGAAAGGCAGAGGAGATAGAGACCAAGGGAGCCGAGACAGAAACAGAGCCAGAACCCCGAGAAACAGCAGCTGACACCGACGACGATCCAGAGACCACGGCACAGAGGGACAGCGGCCCTCAGACAGGCCCCCGGAACGCCCCGGCCCGGGGACAACCGCCCCATGGAGCGATCCAGGACTCCCGAGAGACCCACACGGAAACCCAGAGAGGCGCAGGGGCCGGGGCCGGGCAGGGGGCGCGGCGGCCCGGGAGCCGCCCAGCCGCGGGGCAGGCGCAGCGCGACGGCGGCGCGGGCCGGCGGGGGGAGGCGGGCGCCCCGGCAGAGGGCGCGCGGCCGCCCCGTGCCCGGCCGGGGTCACCGCGCCCCCTCCCCCGCGCCCTGGCCGGACGGCCGGGCTATTTTTACGCGCGGACACCGGACACCAGGCTGGGGCGGCGGCGGCGACGGCCGAGGCGGAGCCGGGCCGGGTCGGACGTCGGGGCCACACGACCGCCCGCGGGTCGCCGGGGCTGCGCGCGCCATGGAGCCGCGGTGCCGGCCGCCGTGCGGCTGCTGCGAGCGGCTGGTGCTCAACGTGGCCGGGCTGCGCTTCGAGACGCGCGCGCGCACGCTGGGCCGCTTCCCGGACACGCTGCTCGGGGACCCGGCGCGCCGCGGCCGCTTCTACGACGGCGCGCGCCGCGAGTACTTCTTCGACCGGCACCGGCCCAGCTTCGACGCCGTGCTCTACTACTACCAGTCGGGCGGGCGGCTGCGGCGGCCGGCGCACGTGCCGCTCGACGTCTTCCTGGAGGAGGTGGCCTTCTACGGGCTGGGCGCCGCCGCCCTGGCGCGCCTGCGCGAGGACGAGGGCTGCCCCGCGCCGCCCGAGCGGCCGCTGCCCCGCCGCGCCTTCGCGCGCCAGCTCTGGCTGCTCTTCGAGTTCCCCGAGAGCTCGCAGGCCGCGCGCGTGCTGGCCGTCGTCTCCGTGCTCGTCATCCTCGTCTCCATCGTCGTCTTCTGCCTCGAGACGCTGCCCGACTTCCGCGACGACCGCGACAACCATGAGCTGGCCGCGGCGGCCGCGGCGGGCCCGGTGAGGGGGCGGGGCGGGGCGGGGCGGGGTCTCGGGGGGAGCCGTCCAATCATGAGGCGGGGCCTCACCGGGGGGTGGGGCCTGGCTCTGGGTGGGCGGGGCATGGGGAACCTGCAGGGAGGACCTGGGGAACCATAGGTGGGGCAAGAGGCAGTGAGGACTGGGCCACCCAGGGACGGGGCCTCCACCGCCAAAAGCTGGGATGCAGGGAAGTTATAGCTAAATGGGGCGAGGTGTGAGGCTCCGAGGAGGACCTGCCCTATCAGATGGCTGGGGGAGGTAGGTGAGAAACCCCACTAGCAGCCGGCAGAAGGACTGGGGGACTCACACATGAAGAAATCACCTCTTGGAGATGAAGGCTGCCCCAAAAGCTGGGTTTTGGTGCCGCTAAGAGCCACCCGTGGGAAGGACCGGCAGGGGTGGTGAGAACCTGAACCTGAAGACCACCCCCCCCCCCCGCCCCAAGGGCTGGAGGTAGAGGAGAGGGAGCTGAAGGCTGGGCTAGGAGGAATCATGACAGAAAGTCACATGGAAAGTCCTGGAGTTGGGGCAGAAAGGTCTTCAGGCGTTGTGGCCGGGCTGTGTTTGAGGAGGGCAAGGTAAGGGCTCGGGGCGGGAGCAGGACCCGCCCTGTCTAGAAGATCAGTGGTGGGGTGGGCCACTGGGAGGGAAGAGGCTGAAGCCCACTCGAGCATCATTTCAAGAGGTGCTCCAGCTCCAGTGGAGGACCGGAGGCCAGAAAGTTACCTATCCAGAATGGTCCCTGGGGCCCTTGGAAGGCATCTAGGACGGCTAGGTCACTGAGGGCCTGGGGCCAACAGCTACTGACCCATTTGCAGAGAAGTCATTGGACACTGCAACAACAAGTATGGCTGTTCCAGCGGCCTGGTCCTCTCTGAACCCTTTCCTCCCTGCAGTTCCCTGCTCGGTTGAATGGCTCCAGTCCAGTGCCTGGACCCCCGCCTCGCATGCCCTTCGACGACCCCTTCTTTGTGGTAGAGACGCTATGCATCTGTTGGTTCTCCTTCGAGCTGCTGGTGCGCCTGGCAGTTTGCCCGAGCAAGACGGCATTCTTCAAGAACGTGATGAACATCATCGATTTCGTGGCCATCGTGCCCTACTTTGTGGCCCTGGGCACCGAGCTGGCTCGGCAGCGGGGAGTGGGCCAGCCGGCCATGTCACTGGCCATCCTGCGAGTCATCCGGCTGGTGCGCGTCTTCCGAATCTTCAAACTGTCCCGCCACTCCAAGGGCCTGCAGATCTTGGGCCAGACGCTCCGGGCCTCCATGCGTGAGCTGGGCCTCCTCATTTTCTTCCTCTTCATCGGCGTGGTCCTCTTCTCCAGCGCTGTCTACTTTGCTGAGGTCGACCGGGAAGACTCCCACTTCACCAGCATCCCTGAGTCCTTCTGGTGGGCCGTGGTCACCATGACCACCGTCGGCTATGGAGACATGGCGCCTGTCACCGTGGGTGGCAAGATAGTGGGCTCTCTGTGCGCCATCGCTGGCGTGCTGACCATCTCCCTGCCTGTGCCGGTCATCGTCTCCAACTTTAGCTACTTTTATCACCGGGAGACGGAGGGCGAAGAGGCCGGGATGTACAGCCATGTGGACACACAGCCCTGTGGGCCACTGGAGGGCAAGGGCAATGGGAGGTTGGTGGATGGAGAGGTGCCTGAGCTTCCCCCCCCAATCTGGGCCCCCCCGGGGAAACACATGGTCACTGAAGTGTGAGGGACAGTGGGGGTCGGCCACACCTCACATTTTGTTGGCGGGAGGGAAAGAGGGAAGGTAAAGTGGGGGGGAAGGGACTGGGTTTAGGAAGAACTAGGTTAAGTGGTCATGAGTTGGGGAACACTGAGTCTTTGGGGTCTTGGGTTGTGTGGTGGGTAGCTCCTGGGGGTACCTTCTTAGGTGGCAGTGAACGGCAGCGCATCATGCTGAACTGAGGAAGAGACGCCATTAGGCTGTCCTAGGCTTGTGGGGCCTCTTGGGGTAGCGCTGAGAGACACAGTCAGATCACTAACTGCCCGCGTAGCTTTGTGAGTTCCCTAGGTCCATGTTAGACTGGGTGGCGGTGAGTCTGAATGAATCTTGTCCAACTGCCTCGTGCAGGAGTCTGTGATTTTGAGTTCCCTAAGGCCACGTGGGGGGCTAGTGCGGTGGTCCCCATGGCACCGTCGGGACCTCCTGTGTGCTCATGCATGGTGGTGTGGAGTTGAGCCGAGGCAGGTTGGGAGTTGCGTGGCTTTGTGACTCTTCTAGGGCCATGTTATTTTAAGTCCTGTGAACTTGCCAGCCATGTAGACAGACGAAGGTCAAATGATAGGATGTGAGCTTCCTAGATTCCATTAGGGCAAGTTGGGTTGGAATGTGTGACCTTTCAGGCTTCTGTGGGATTGAATCGTGTGGAGTCATGTGTCTGGAAGCTTCTCGGGGCTACTGTGAGTTGGAGAACCGAGAGCGTCTCGTGGGGCCACGCTGACAAGAGTCACATGGGGTTGTGTCATTGTGAGTCCCGTCGGAATGTTGGCTTGAGTCAGACTGTGTGTGTGGTGAGGGTCCCCGCTGGGTTGCTTTGTGCTTAGCAGTAGCTCCAGGACCCGAGGACGCCGCCCTGGGGAGGAGACATGCTCCAGGGTGTCATGTATGGCGTTGTGGACTCCAGGAGACTCACGAGAAGGGGTGGGGCTGGGCTGTGTCCCCACCGATTCGGTTGTTCATGTGGAGAGGTCTTGGGATGAACCCGGAAGGTGAGGAGGCTCCTTCCATTTACCCGCTCCCCGCTTCGTTTTCCCTCCCACTCCCTCTGCGTCTTCCTCTTCAGCTTCCCTTTGGGCACGGAGGTCAGCGCGAGAAGGGAACGGGGAGAGGGGAGAAAACTATACTCCGTCCAGACATGATGGGGGGAGTAATACCCAGAGGGGGACAGAGACCTGGGGAGGGGGAAGGTCCCAGAGAAGAGGGGACAAAGATCCAAAAAGAGAGGAACAGAGACTCACAAAGGAGGCAGAGATCCGGAGAGAGAGGGAGGCAGACACCCAGAGTTGGAGACAGACTAAAGTACCCCCAGAACTAGAATCAAAAAACAGAAGGCAGGAAAAGACAGTGACCCACAGAGAATCACAAAGAGACCCCCCAATCAGGGCGTGTTACCCCACCCTCCCGCAGCTCAGGAGGCTGTCAGACAGTGGTGGGGGGGCACTATATTTTCCAGGAAGAATGGGAGTCCTAGAGCATGGGTGTGGCCTCCCAAGGTCACAGGCCTGCCTGGGGCCAGGACTCCTGCAGGCTGCCTGGCCTCCAGGCCCCATCAACCTATCCTTATGCCCTGCCCTCCCCAGCCCACGCTCCACAGCCTCCTTTCTCAACGTAGAGAAATGCCCTGAGGGCATCTGAGGACAATGGCGAGGTCACTAAGAGAGGGCTTCCCCTGAGCCCCTCCACAAAGGACTTTACTGTAGGAATGTATTAAACCCGGCCAGTGGTTTACAGAATGGTGATGTGGTCGTTGTTATTTTTAGCTAGGGCCCCTCCCCCTTTCTTTGGTCAAATGAAATCTTACTTAGAGGCTCCAGCCTGACAAGGGGACCTGGTTGGAGGGGAACATACCTCCTTTGGGGTCCCTCTAAGAAAGTCAGCTAGGAGACGGCTGGTTTAATCCAGTCACCATCTTTACACAGAGAGGTGGAAGCAGGTACAGCTCTTGCGAGTCTTGATGAAGGTCAAAAGTAATGTGACCTTTAGGCAGGGTGTTCCCTGTAGGGGGGAGAAAGAAGAGTCTGGAGGCAGCAATCCGAGCAGCCCCCCTCCCAGGGGGAGATGCCTGGCGAGGCTGGGGGGCAGGCTAGCTGCCCAGCAGAGGGGCATATGCAGGGAGGACAGAGACCAAGGCAGAGAGACTCCCAAGGGGAGGAGATGGGCTGGAAGGGGGGGTGGGCAGTAGCCTGGGGGTTATCGGACCAGAGGTGGGGACAGAGGGGTACAGAGACACACAGAGAAGGGGGTACAAAAACTCCCAGAGAGGAGGAGAAAGAGTCCCAGAGGGAGGGGACAGAGACTGTTTTTAGTCACTCTTTGAAAACTCACCCCACAAACCCATTAGAAACTAGAGGTTACATAGAGCCCCTCTGGTAGGGGATGGGGTGTGCTGGGTGCTTGGGGATGAGGGATGTGGGCAGAGGTCAGGGAGGTGGCGGGGAGTGGCCACTCAAAGACTGGGAAGTGCCCCCTCCCCCACAACTGTTAGGGGGAAAAGATGTGCCGGGGCGCCTTCTATGTTGTCTTGGCCGGGATGGGGAAGAAGAGAGGGGAACACCCCAATCCGGGGACACCCTTCCTGCCACCTTGCCATGCTATATTTAGGCTGAGGGAGGGGTGTGGGATGACCCCCCACCCCGGCGGGTGTCAGCTTGCCTCCTGAAAATAGCCCTGGGGGAGGGGTGAAGGCGAGGTAGGGTGAAGGGCCCGGAAGTAGGACTGTCCTCTCTGATCGTCTGTCTGGGGTCTCTCTCTCGCTCTGGGTCTCTGTCCCCCTTCTGGGGTTCTGTCCTCTTCCACAGCAGAGTCTGTCCTCTCTGGGTCTTCTCTTTCTGTCTGTCCCCTCCCCCGGCCCCCACTTCTGTGTCTCCCCCCCCCCTCCAAGCAGGTCATCCCCTAATCCTCTCTTTGTCTATCTCAGTCTGTAGAACCTTGAATTCCTCTTCTCTGCGCTCCGGAGAAGACCCTCTCCCCAGTCCCCACCCAGGAAATTCCAGGAGCGAGGACTATGCGGGAGAGCCCCCCACATCCACCGGCTCCGGTCCCGGGGCCTTATCACTGCCCCAGCCCAGCTGGTTAATGTCTGGCCCCGAGCTCCTGGGAAAGTGGGGAGTAGAGCAGAGGGTGGGAATCTGCCCGGGGAGACACTTCGTTGGCAAAAGCCCCGAAGGAATCTCAGGCCTGGACGCCTGGGTCTCACGGAGGAGGGGCCGGAGGCCTGAATTCCTGGGTCTGAGGGAAGCGGGGCTGGGGGCTCAGATTCTGGCGTCGGAGGGAGGGGGGCCTGGGGGCCCGGACTCTAGAATCTGAGGACGGGGGGGCGGGAGGGGGGGGCTGGGGGCTCAGACTCCTGGGTCTGAGGGAGGGCTGGGGGTCTGCTCTGCAGGGGCTGCGGGAGGAGGGGCCGGGCCTGGCCTCCGGGGGCCGAGGCGGGCGGCGGGCTGAGCGAGCCGGGCCGGGCTTCCGCGGTCTCGGCCCGCGCGTGGAAGGCGGGATCCCCGGCCCCTCCTCCGCCGTCGGGCGCCGCCCCGCTCCGCCCCCGACCCCGGCCTTCCAGAGCGTGTGCAGCGAGGAGCCGGCGGGCGCGCGGGTGTCCCTGCAGCCGGCGAGCGGGAGGAGGAGCCGCCAACGCGCCAGGGGGAGCCGGGGGAGCCGAGGAGGGCGCCCCAGGTAAGAGCCTCGGCGCCTCCCCCGGGGATTCCCGCGGCCGGGGCGCCCGGCCCCCGGGTAGGGAGGGGCGGGGGCGGGGCCGGCGGGGGCGGGGCTTGGCGGAGGAAACTGAGGCAGGAGGGACTTGTCGCAGATCTGCCGCCGGGTGCCCCAGCGGGGTCTCCGCGGGGTCTGGCCCCCCAGTCTAAATCTTCTGGGCAAGAAGCGACCTGGGAGTCGGTACTTCTGAGTCCCCGGGCTGGAGGGGACTGAACCCCAGAACTCTCGGGGCTGCGAGCGCACGGGCTGGGCGCTTGGACTCCGGCGTCTGAGGGAGCTGCCGGGCGCTGGGCTCCGGGACGAGTCTGGGGCCGAGGGCGCCAGGGCTTGGGGGAGGAGGGGCTGGGGAGGACTCCGCTCCTAAGGGAGCTGGGGACCAGGACTTCTGATCGGAGGGGGGAGGCAGCTCTCAGTCCCAGTTGGGGGGGTCTGCTGCGCCCCTCTTCACACCGCACCCTTCCCAATTCCCCGTCTCCGAGCCAGAGCAGGCAGCCACTCCAGGTATTTGCAGCAGAAGTCTTGGACGGGCCCTGGCCTGTCCCGTGAGGAGAGAACATTCCAGGAAGCAGCCTCCGGGACCCAGGGCTTCTCAAGTGCGGGCCCTCGGGGACCCGGGTGTCCAGGCCAGCCCCGCCCCCGCCCCGTCTGGGAGATGAATGGGCCGCGGAGGATGTAATCTCTCCAGCCTCCTCCATCCGCTGCCCCTCCTCTCCCCCCTCCTCCCCCCATCTGCTTCCCATCCCAGCCAGGAGCCTTCACCTAGGCTGGGAAGGGGCTTCTGGGAAGGGGCGTGTCCTCGCCTCTCGGGTCCCCTACGCTGCAACCCGAGGGGGTGCTCGGGACCCCGCGCCCCCTTCCCACCTGCCTGTATAACTTGCCTGTTCCCTTCTTCCCCCTAGGTGATTGCCCCCTCCACCTCCTGCGATGTCAGGAAGGAGAGGGCCACCTGTGCCCCCCAAAGGGGCCCCCCGGAGCCTGGGGGCCCCCAGCCCCAGAGCTCGGAGGCGGAGGAGGTGCTGACAGGTCTGGTACCCACCCGCCGCTTCCCAGTCCTCCACACCCTTCCTCCCAGAATAGGCTTCCAGGACCTTGTAGAGAAGCTCAATATCCGCGCCCCCACCAGCATCTCCCAGCCGCAGGGTCAGTGCCCTGGACACGGGGTGTGGGAAATACCCAGAGGAGAGTCTTACCTTCTTCGTGGCTCTTTTGAGCTGAGCGTGGGTCTCCCTAGGATTCCAGAACGTGGGCTTTCTCAAACCATTGGAACCTCAAAACTCCTCCAGGCTGTAGGACTTAGGGTTCCCTGAGGTGCTAGAGACAAGAGGGCAGAGTAGAGCTGCTCAGCCAGGGTTGGAATCCCACCTTTGCTAGCTGTGTGACCTGGTGCAAGTCACTAACCTCTCTGAGCCTCCGTTTCCCCACTCAGTGGCCACTAATAGTAGATGAATAATTATTATTAATCTTGAAGTTGGGCATCATCCAAACCCTGAAATATAGGCCCTCCCCCCCAAGGTTTCTAGAACAAGGGTTTTCCTGCATTTTTGGCATGTAGGTCCCTGGAGTTCCCAACCTCTGCCACCCTCCCCCAGCTTCTACGTTCTCTAACTCCAGCTTCCCTCTCTGTCCCCAGGTGCTCAGCGAGATGCTCCCCCATCCCCCCGGCTCCCTCCCCTTCCTCCTGCTTTTCCTCCTCCCCAGTTTCCCGATGGAGCCCCAGCCCCCACCCTCACTACTGCCCCCATTTCCAGCCCCCGAGTGGGACCTCTTATCCCCCCGCGTAGCCCTGTCTAGGGGTGCCCCTGCAGGTCCCCCTCTGCTCTTCCTGCTGGAGGCTGGGGCCTTCGGGGAGCCAGCAGGCAGCCCAGCCAACCGCAGCCGGCGGGGTGTGAGCGAGACAGCACCGGCCAGCCGAAGGGGAGAGCTGGCTGTGTGCGATGCGGTCAGTAGCTGGGTGACAGACCGCAGGACAGCCGTGGACCTGCGCGGGCGTGAGGTGGAGGTGCTGGGAGAGGTGCCTGCGGCCGGTGGCAGTCCCCTTCGCCAGTACTTCTTCGAGACCCGCTGCAAAGCTGACAGCTCTGGGGAAGGTGGCCCCGGTGGGGGTGGAGGAAGCTGCCGGGGTGTGGACCGGAGGCACTGGGTGTCCGAGTGTAAAGCCAAGCAGTCCTATGTACGGGCCTTGACCTCAGATGCAGAGGGCCGTGTGGGCTGGCGATGGATTCGAATTGATACTGCTTGTGTCTGCACACTCCTCAGCCGGACTGGCCGGGCCTGAGGCCCATGCCCATGAACTGGGCTGGCAGATGAAGAAGAGAACTGGATCCTGAGGGACCTGGGGGGTGGCCTGGCTGCTTTGGGCTTCAGTCAGTTGGTCACAAAATCACAGCTCTCCGAATTTGAGAGCTTCATCTCAAAGACAGTTGGTGAAACTAAATGGGGTTTTGAAGGATGAATAGGAGTTCTCCTGGATGAACTTCATAATGATGCTGATTGTGATAGCCAATTATTCTGAATGTCTTACTGTTCATCAGTCCAATACACAACTTGTCAGATCAACTCTGGTGGATTTGACCATCGGAGGCCCTGACTTCTAACTTACTGACCACTTAATCTCATAGGACACCACCTTGCTGACCCTGGAGAGTGATAACGAGAAAATATGTCAAGAAGTGGGGGGAGGGGAGCATCAAAATGGGAATATGCAACCAACTGGCTGGAAGCTGGGGTGCAAATGAAAATCTTATTTGGTGAATGGGTTGAGTGTTGCCTTAGAATGTTCAGTTTTGAGATAGTAAGCTGACCGTCCTGGCTGGAACACAAGCGAGGTTGACGGATAGGAGGTCAGGATGCTAGAGAGCTTGGCCCTGATGGGAAAGTGGAGTCAGGTTTCTACCCCCTTTCCTGTCTCAACCTTTACCCCACATTGAAGGAGAAATAGACCTTAAAATTGTAGGCACAATGTTCTGACAAATTGCCCCCTGGCTAGGACCAGAGGCCGCTTGGACACTGATAGATCCTGAGTGGACCAGGAAAATCCAACAGGAGAAGGGCCCACAGAAACTTAAATGGGGTCAGTGGGACTCTGGGCCAGACTGCAGAAGACAGCCTCTGTTTTCCCGCTCTGAAGAAAAGGTTGGTGGGGTGACATGCTAGGAGAAGTGGAGGCTTTGACCTAAAGGACTTTAATGTGAGGAAATGATAGGGAAGTCAGAGGTAAACCCCACACCTGCAGGGCACCCCTGCATGGGTTATCACTCCATAGCCTCAAGCCTGTTACACACACACATCCCTTTAGGAGCCTTGGGCTAAGGGCACAGAGAAACCCTGTGTCCTAACCAGACGGGGCTCCTGAGCAGGGCTGGGCAGGGTCTGGCTGCCTCTGTTTCTCCATCTCTGTGATCTAGGTCTGGGGTTCCCCCCCCCTTTTTTTATGGTCATCTCTTGGCCTCTCTGTTTAACTTCCTGTCTTGTCTCTGGGTCACTAGCTCTCAGTTTCTCACTTGTTATTGCATCCATTTTTGTATGCATTTCTTTCCCACTCATCAAAGCTCTTTCTGCACCCCTCAGTGCTAAGTATTTCCCCGTGTCTTTCTCAGTGGGGCTCCCCCTCTTCGCCCATCCCCATGCCCAGGTGGAAGTTTTCAAGCACATCAAAGGCAGGCTGGGTAGACGCAGCCACAGCTGTAGTAGAAGCCAGCGCCGACTCCAGCACTCAGGAAGGCCGGGAGAAGATGTGAGAAGATGTGAAGTCTGGAAATTGTTACCCTGTAGTTGGGCAGACCTGGCAGAGGGAAGAAGCAGGGGAGAGGTCTGGGACCCTGTAGGAAAGTGTGTGGGGGGGTGTTTCTCATGGAGTCCTGAATACGCTGGGTGGCCTTAGGCCCCCCACCCCCACCCCCACCCCTCTGACCCGCCCTTCTCTCTACTGCCCTGTCTCTGGGTCTCTGTCTCTGAAACTCTGAACATCTATTTCTTTCTACCCTCCACTCTGTGTCTCCCCTGTTTCTCTGCCACTCTTGAAGTTTCGACGTGCCCTGCCCTGGGTGGGTCTTGTTCACGCTGCCCGAGCATCCACGCGCTGGCAGGCCCTCCATTGGCTGGTTCCGAGGGGGCGGGTTCTGTCACTAGGGCAACAGCAACAACAAGCCTGCTCTCGCTCGGCTACTGGGCAGGGGCCCGAGGATGGCTGGCCGGACCCTCGCTCTCCGCTACGGCCCCCCTTGGAGACCCATCTCTGGGTCCGAGGCGCCTGGATCCTGGCCCCACTGGCATCTCACCAGCAGCGGCGTCGCCCACCATGTTATCCCAGCCGTGTCCTTCCCCCCGCCCACCGTGCAGGTGAGAGGACGCTAGGTTCCTGGCCAAGACGACACTGGGGGTCCAGACTCCTGGCTCTGAAGGAGGGACCTGGGGCACCAGACACATCTGCTGAGAGAAAGCTACTTAGCCAGCCTGCCTGGAGGAGGAGGGTCCCGGAGCGCCGGCTGGGCGAGATGAGGGGCCAGGGACCCCGGAGGCTTGGAGCTGGAGGGGGGAAAAGGCCGGGGCTGGGCACGGCCTGGAAGACACTGGGCTGGCGGCCCCCACCTCCCGAGGCTGGAGCTGACGCCGCGTGCCTCCCCCCCAGTGCACGGTGGCGGCGCCCCTGCCCCCGGCCGCCCGGCAGGAGTCCCACGCCTGGGCTTTCGACGAGGTCATCAGCAGCTGGGAGACGACCCACCGCTCGGCGTACGTGCCCAAGGCCCACGGCGGACTCTACGCGCAGCCCCGCGCCCCGGAGCCTGCGGACCCCACGCGGGATGTGGGGATGAAGGATTTAGGGGAAAAGGTCTGCCGAGGTCGACGGGGTCAGACTGGGGGTTGCCCTGGAGCCCCATGCATCATGCTGGGGCCCCGCGTGGCTTTCTGTAGCTCAGACACCGCGGCTGGCGCCTCCCGCTGACCACGCGGCACCAGCGCAGCGAGACCAGGGCGCAGTTCCGCGGCTGGCCGCACCTGGACCCGCGCGCGGGCGTGGGCGCCGGCCCCCCGCCCCCGGAGCTCGCGGGCCGCCAAGGGGGCGCTTCCCAGGTAGCGCCGGCGGCGCGGGCGAACCTTCCCCCGCCCGGGGCTTGGGTTGGAGGTGCTGAGACCTGGGACTAGACTAGGAGGTCTTGGGGGGCGGGGCCCGAGGGAATGTTGAGTCTGGGGGCGGGCTACAGGGGGGGATGCGGCGGAATCGGGTTACATAGTCTGGGGGAGGGATTTGGACCTTTCAAGGCATGGGGGGGGGGAGGAGGAGGAGGAGGGACTGGAGACCCGCAACCCCAGTTCAGAGTCACCCGCACGGGCTCGGCGGGGGTTCGGAAGCGGGGTGCGGAGCCCGGCAGTTGGCTGAAGGCGGGTGCGGGTCTGGAATAGCGTAGGACGGGGTCCGGAGCCAGGCTTTCCAGGTCAGAACGGCGCAGGGAGGCATCGTTGTTCATCAGGGGGCTGCTCAATAGTCAGGACCAGGAAGATTTGGGTCTGGAGGCTGAAGGGTTTGCTCTTGGGGGCTGCATTTGGTCTTGAGGCTAGTAAATCTTCGGACTTGGGGAGCAGAGCTAAACTGCACTGGGTGAGATTGAGCAGGGAGGATTCTAAATTCTGGGGGCCTGTATGAGGGTCCAGAGGGGCTGCCGAAATGGAAGAGGAACTCTCAGCCTGAAACCAGGATTTGAAACCTCCTTCTTGTTTACCCCCACTTCCCCCGCCCCCCCACCCCCATTTTACTCAGGCTCTAATCCCCTGGACCAAGAACCCTGAGCTGGCAGGCAGGTCTTTCACAGTCTCCAGCCAGGGCATCCTGGACGGCGGCCAGCTCTACCTGACCACCTCTGCCAGGGACTTCCAGCGCCCCTCCAAGTGAGCCCGCCCCCCTCCCCCACCACACAAACTGGCAGGACCGCTGGCGCTGGGTCCCCTCTTACTCAGTGGTCGCTTTCGGCTCTTGTGTTTGCAAGAAGCAGAAGCTCCGATCCCAGGTGGTCCCTACCTCTTTTAGCGCCCAGATATCCTTAGTGTCAGCGTTCAGGTACCAAGAGGGAGTTCTGAACGTAGGGCGGAACCACCTTGGCATTTCACACACTCCTTCCTAAGGTTGCAAAAAACCCCCGATTCCAGGTCCTTCAGCACCTCCAGGACCCCGGATCCACACTAGCAGTCAGTCCCCAGCCTCATCCTTTCTAAAGTGTCCCCAGACCCTACACATTTGTCACTGCCTTGACAAAGGAGTGCGGTCTGCACCTCCGTAGAACCCTCCGGTTCTCAGCCTCGGCCCGACACCCGCCTCCACCCCTCCCCAGGAAGGCGTCGTCGGGATACCCCCGCAAGGACTCGCTGACCTACTGGAGCTTAGAGGAGACGCCCCGCGGCTGGGGCCCAGGTCGGCAGCGGCAGCCCTGTCCGCCCTCCTCTGGGCTGCCCCCGGCGCGGAGGCCCCGCGTGCCCCGAGCCGCGCCGGTGACGCCCGCGGTGCCGCACCGCGGGATGCTGACGCTGGCCCAGGAGTCCTACGGCCTCCCGCTGCACCCGCTCCGCTCGCTCGACCGTGTCTGCCCGCTGGAGTTGCCCTGGGGCGGCCCCCACTGGCAGCCGGCGCCGGGCCTCCACCGTGTGCCGCAGGCCTACCGCCCCGAGAGCGCGCAGTACGGCAGCCGGAGGCCGGCGCTCGTCTGAGCCGCCCGAGCCGAGCCCCCACCCGGCGGGGCGACGGTCCGAGCCCGCTCGCGGCGCAGGGGCGGGACGGAGCCCGGGATCCGCCCCCGGGCGGCGGGCGGGGAGTCCGAAGCTCCGCACTAGACTTGCGGGCGCGGGACCTGACCCGGAAAATAAACGTGGGAGGCTGCGGGCCCAGGGGCGGCGCCTACCTGAGACAGGACAGTTCAACAGCGCCGGCATCCTCGCTTCCGCCCGCCTGGACGTGGGGGGATGGGGCCCGGGCTAACCCTCTGGCGGGTCGACATCCGCCTCTGAGCACAATCCCGCCCCTCCGGGGAGCCTGGGCTCTGGCTCAGGAGGGGTTTCCGTTCTCCGGCAGGTGGTTTCAGGCTTCAGCCAGATCACTCCTGGGGCAGCCGCGGGGCATGCACAGCCTCCCGCTGGGGCTCACCCCCACCCCCACCTAGGCAGGGCTTCCCAGCAGGGGGCACAGACCCAATTTCCTGTGCCCCCAACACAGCCTCTCTACCTGAATTCAGTGGGTGAATCAGCTTCAGCTGGGGTGTGACTGCTTCTTGGTGTGGAAGCAACCCGGGGGTGGCGGAGGGTGCTCCTCTGAGCTGCTCCAGCACCTCCCTGACCTTGTCTGCTTCTCGCCCCCGAGGGGGATTAGTGTCCAGGTTACCCCACCATGCTGCCGCTGTCAGTGGCCTTGCCACCCCCACAGCCTTCAGGTATAAGACCAGGTAAACACAATAGGGGAGGAACTGAGGATGGAGATGCTCCAGGTAAGACCGTAGGGCCCCAGGGCACCCTGCAACTCCACCCAGGCCACAGGGAGCTCCAGAAGGGAGAGTGCTGGGACCTGGGCAACAAGGTCTCTTTCTAGAAGGGAGTGGGCTGCCAGCGGGCTTCCGGCCAGAAGGCGGGTGGGGCAGGGCCTGAGGGTGGGTATCATATGTATTAAGATATCTGGGGTTCCTGGGTATTGGGCTGCGGGATCAAAGTGGAGGGGTGGGCCCTGAATGCCTGGGTCCACGAATGTATGAGGGCAGGGCTAAGGGCAGAGGTCTCAGACCAGCTCTGAGGTACTGACCTTGTCCCAGGGGCTGCTACTGTGGCTGCTGCTGAGCATGGGTGGGGTGAGGGCATCCAGGGGGCCACTGCGGCCACCGTGCCAGCCCATCAACGCCACCCTGGCTGCGGAGAACGAGGCCTGCCCTGTCTGCATCACTTTCACCACCAGCATCTGTGCTGGCTACTGCTTCAGCAAGGTGAGCTGCGCCTGGTGGGAGGGGCCAGCCCTGCAGGCTGAAGGAGGGTGCTGCCCCCAGCTCCAGGCTGTATCATCAGGGCCAGACGAGGGACAGGAGGTGCTGCTGGGTTGGGAGGGAGGCATGGCCCCACGGGCGGGGGCAAGGGAATGGATACCCAGCTGGCAGACAGGAAGGAGAGCAGAGGGTCCCTGGGAACCTGAGTCTGGAATCTATGGGGGGGCAGCAGCGGAAAGTTTGGGGGAGGGTTGGCCCCCAGGCAGATGCCCATGCTGCCCCCATGGTCTCCAGATGCGGGTGCTGCAGGCCGCCCTGCTGCCCATGCCCCAGGCAGTGTGCACCTACCAAGAGCTGCGCTTCGCCTCCATCAGACTCCCTGACTGCCCACCTGGCGTGGACCCCACAGTCTCCTTCCCCGTGGCCCTCAGCTGTCACTGTGGACCCTGCCGCCTCAGCAGCTCCGACTGTGGGGGCCCCAGAGCCCAGCCCTTGGCCTGTGAACGCCCCCCTCTCCCAGGCCTCCTCTTCCTCTAAGGACCTACCACCCATGCCTGCCCTGACTCCTGGAGCCAGCAGCTGCTCCTCCCCTCCTCTCAATAAAGGCTTCTGGAACGGCACTCTGGGGTGGTTTGTCTTTTAGACTTTGTGCCCGTGTGCTCTTCTCGCTCTCTCTCTCTCTCTCTCTCTCTCTCTCATACACACACTCACTCAGTGGATCCAGTTTCAGAATCATTTTATATAAAGTCACTCTGGTAGAAAACGGGGGCTGGGGGGGGGGCGAGGGTAGCATCAGCTCAAGAGGTGTCCATGGTTTCACCTTCTGTGGGGAGAAGGAAGGCCACAAGGTCAGTGTGGCCCGGAGCGCAGGGCCTCCGCTTTCCAGGCAAGGATCCCTCCTCCTCGGGGCTGGGCGGCCCTGGGGCTGGGTGAGCAGGGACACTCACTGAGCTCGTTGAAGAGGAAGGCGTCCTGGTATTCCTTCATGTACTGCGTGGAGCGGGACTCGTCCAGGAAGAGCGAGTAAACCCGTTTGATGTCATCCACCTGCACCTCTGTGCCCTGATGGGGTGGTGACACTCAGTGGGGCCCCTCCAGGAGTAAGGGGGCCCTTGGGGGCCAGACAGCTTGGGTCCAAACCCTGCCTCAGTCACCACCTGGGCCCACCTCTCCATCCCTCAGTTTCTTCCCCTATAAAACGCATTCAACTGCAGCACTCAGTTGCCAGATGGTTCCTGCCTTTGAGAGCCTCAGTGCTGGACTAGATGTAATCACCACTCAAAGCCCTTGGGGAGATGGGGTGGTGGGTGGGTCACGCCTGGGGGCTTACTCAGCTGGCTGACCTTGCGCTTCCGGCACACCAGGCTGGCGGCCGTGATGAGCTGGATGGCGTAGCGCAGGGAGGTCTCCAGACCGATGCGGGTCAGCACCGTGTAGGCGTCCTCACTCATCTCTACATCTTCCTCCTCACACCTGTGGGCAGGCGGGGGTGGTGTTTCAGTCAGGGCCAGGCCTCGGCCAGCTGGAACCCTGACCCTTTTCCCTGGAGGACACATGGAGCCTGCGTCCTCCAACCACAGGACGCGGCATTCGAAGGACCACTGAGGCACGGGCTAGGCCCAGCCCTGACAGCCCTACCTCCCAAACCCCCACCACCCAGGGCTCACTCCTGAGTACCTCTCCTACACTCCCCTCGGGGCACCCGCCCTGGACCACAGGCCAAAGCCATCTGCCCAACCCAGTGACCTCCCCTCTTTTGTCAGATTTGTCAAACAGGAAGGACACCAGCCCACCCCGCAGGCCCGCAGCTCGGCTCTGCCCGCACCGGATGCGGAGGATCTGCTTCGTGTCCTTCTCGCTGTAGGGAGAGGTGGAGACGATGAGCAGTCGGTCCAGTAGGTCGATGGGGATGCCGTGGGGGCTCTGGTAGCTGGTGCCCCGGATGCTGCAGAGGAGCAGAGGGGGCTGTCAGGGTGATGCCCAGCAAGGCGGCTCGGCTCTCCATTTCCTCTCAGAGCACCCCCGCCCACTCACTGGGCCAAATGCCACTTAACCTTCAGCTCATGGCTGGCGTCATTGCCTGCCCGCACAGGCTGTCCCCCCCAGCCCCCTGCGTCACTGCCCGGTGGAGCTGGCTGTCCTTAGCCAGGTATCCATGCCAGGTATTACGGGATCAAGGTCCCACTTCCTGCCAGACACCAAGCTCCACCAGGAAAGGATGGTGCCGGTCCAGTTCCAGCCACACCTGGCCCAGTCCAGGGCAGCCACCAGGACACCGCCAGTCCTCGTCGCCCCTGTAGCTCCGCTCTCGGAAGTGGTTACCAACACTCAGGAGCCAGCGCGACTTTGTCAACCAGTCAATATGTAACCTGGCTGTATGTGCGGGTTTACAGGCAACGTATTTAGTATATAGTGGCCCGTTCAGGCTGCAGGCGCAACCAACAGCCCCCTATCGGAGTGGATTATGCAGCGCCTGACACACAACGCTGTGCTCCTAAATATCTCACCATGCTCTCGTGTCTCCTGCTGCACCCAGGGGTGCCTGGGCAGTTTGGGAACTGCAGCATTAGGTGCTATAGGAACAGGGAAACAAAGAACACAGGCCCTGGATGCCCTGTGGAGCAGCGTCGCCTGCCTGCCCCAAAGATCAGGCCTGGCTTACCTAGTCTAAGGGCAGAGCACGGTCTTGTGTAGGCCACTGTCCTGGGGGGTAGCCGTGGTGTCACAGCTATTAAGCCCATGCCCGGTCCAACATGGTGCTCAACAGACAAGGCCTGTTTCCCCTGTGGCCAGACCCGCCGCCAGCATCTGTTTTCCCCTGGGATCTAAGGCGCAGCTTACCGGGTGATGCCGCGGTTGGTAGCCATGATGAGAACAGGTGCCATGTCACTCTCCAGAGCCCGGTTGAGGAAGGAGAAGCTCTCGATGTCCAGCATGTGGACCTCGTCGATGAACAGCACCTGCGAGCCATGAGGGGGTTATGTCAAACTCCACACCCACGCCCCTCTTCCCAGCTGCCAGTCTGGGTGATACTCACCCCGGGGATAATCTCTGCTTTGCCCTCCTCACGCCATTCGGCCACCTTGGCATTGATCTGCTCCCGGACTTCTGATTTGATCTCGCCCGTGTCACCTACAGAGGTGAGGAGTGGGGGTGTCAGAGGATCCAGGGCCAAAGGTGGGCAAAGACAAAGATGGACGCTGGGGACAGAGGAAAGAGAGGCCAAGAGCCGAGCGGTAAATTGACAGGAGGGCCGGGGTGTCTGAACTGACCCTCCAAGAGGAAGAGACAGAGCCCACAGGAGGAAGCGGGCAGAACACATCCCATCAGATCTCCTGACAGGGCCTCAGACAACACTGCATGTGGCACCGTGGACAAGCCGCACCCAGAGACGGAGAACAGAGATGGCTAGCACAGGTGAGGGAGGAAAAGGGGGAGACCGTGCTCATGGGAGGGAGGGGAAGCCACAGGCGCAGGTGAGTGTGGGGGGAGCTGCCAGGCTGGAGAGGGCGAGTCTCACCCGAAAAAAGAGCCAGGAAGCCCTGGGTGCGGGAGTTGATGACGTCGATCTCATGCAGGGACACGGTGTGCACCACCTCCTTGCGTTTCTGGAGCTCCCCGTCTGGGCACTGCACGAACTTGGTCTACAGGGTGGGGTGGAGACAAAGGGCGTGAAGGGCTGCGGGGAAAACCACTGGGAGCTTGGTCTGGGGAGTTTGGGGCTCTCTGGAATGGAGTTGGGAGTCTGGATGGGGGTTATCCAGAAACCCCCTCAGAGGTAGTCATGCGTGAGAGGGCGTCAGGACTGGGGTGCTCAAGAGGGTTGGAAGATATGGGGGCTCTTGGGAGACTCAGAAACCTTGAGCAAAGTGCCCAGCTGTCCAAGGTGGTAGAGGGAAGAACTGGGAACACCACAGACCCAGAATCATAGTGACGACCTAAGGGTCATGTAGGAGATGGCCCCCCTGGGGCCCGGAGGGAGGACACCCCCAGCGCAGGGCCCACCTGGGAGCCCATGGCATCATAGTCCCGGGCACGTGTGAAGGAGCGGCCCAGCTTGGAGATCTTGCCCGTGGCCTTATCGATGGTGATCACATCCCTGCAGGGAGGGCGGGTGGGAGTGAGAAAGAGGCTCCAGCCCCTGACCCAGACACCTGGTGCGGGCTCCGCTGCTCACCCAGCCTGGACCTTGTCCTTGGTCAGGGACTCGATCATCTTTGTGCCCAGGTCATAGATGGTCTCCATCTCCGTGGTCTTGAGGGTTAGCTTGCCCACCTTGGAGCCCTGGAGGGGGAACATGCCAAGGAAGGGGCTCAGAGGGCCTGATGTCTCCCTCACGCAGCTTCAAAGGGGGCAGGGAAGCTTTGAGGAGGGAGATGGTCACTGCTGTGACAGGAAGCTGCCTAGTATACACTTTGGGTGTGCGCCACTTCCTGAAGGTCATGGGCACCCCCACAAAGCTATTACTAAGAAAACACAAGAGGCAAGTGAATACCTAAAAGAGAAAGTCCCACCAAATGCCCAATGGGGTGACATTCTTAACATTCATGCTTTTTTATACCCCAATACAAGGTGTTTTGTTTTTGTTGATCTCTGAACTAGGAAACAGACCCAAGCTAAATACAGCTAAGAAAACAAAAATGCCCCACCCCTTTGGCACCAGATAAGCAGTGGATATTTTCCAGGCTCTTCCTGGCATCTCCAAGGATCTCTCCTTCCCCTGAATTGTTTCCTGGGTGAGTCATTCCTTGTGTGGGGCAGGTGGCAGGAGAAAATGATTGGAGTGAACGGGGGTTGGGGTTTTCAGAGGCAGGAGATTTTCAGAGGGAGGAGATATCCATGGATCTCTTCTGTAATCGAAATCTAACTTAAAGAACTCTTTTGGGGTAGTCCCCCTCCTAACCTGACCATCAATATTCAACAGTGCTGACAGCTGAATCAAGTCAGGAGGCCGCTGACGGGGCTGAGTGTGCAAGGAGATGGACGCTGCACTTGCAATGTGTGAGCAAAGAGAAGGGCGTCCAGGTCACAGGACCTAGAAACAGAGGGTGACTGTGCCAGGTCGATGGGGCTGGGTTATGTTTCCTTCTATGTAGCTAGAGCTGTAGGAACAGCTGGAACATCTGGTTTAAGAGTACTACCAACAGGGAAGAACCTTGCAAATACCTGCCAATACAAGGAGCCAGATACACAATATGTCCCACATTGCAGGACTCCATCTCTATGAGACATCCTGACGGGCAAACCCACTCATTCACAAAGCAGATTAGGGGCTGGGGGTGGGAGGTGAGGAGGAAGAAGGGCTGGGGTGATGCAAATGTCCTGGTAGGGAGTAATGCAAATATCTTGGAACCAGGTAGGGAGCAATCACACAAACTGGGAGGATGCAAATAAATCCCATCAATGGCCACTTTAAAGTGCTCGGCGCCCCCTCAGTGGCCTCAAGAGAGAACAGTCACCGCACATGACAGGGATGTGTCAGTAGTTCAGAGACCCTCCTCCCCAGGGTGACCACAGACTGTGACAGAAAGTGTGGAGTCTCTCATGTGTACAGCACAGATTTGGGTCAAGGACCCCAGACAAAGTGCTTCAGACAAAGCCTTCTCCTGCAGAT